TTTATCTGCCTGTTCTGTCAATAACTGAAAGAGGTATGTTAATCTTTCATTTTGATGGTTGAATTTTTAATTTTTCTTTGGTATACTTAATCTTCCTTTATATATTTGGAAGTGTTAAATTAGGGCATACAGGCTTATTTACTCTATGAACTGATTTTCTTTATGTGTTATAATGCTTTTATTATCTCGAAGTTTTATTTTTCAGATGTTAATGTAGCTATATCACCTTTCTTTGGGTTGGCATTTACCTGGTATATCTTTTTCCATCTTATTTCCCATCTTTCCTCATCTTTATGTTTTAGATGTGTCCCTTGTAAAATGGCACTTAGCTGGATTTTTAAAAATGTTATCCAGTCTGTTAACTTCTGCATTTTAACGGGTGAGTTTTGCTCATATATGTTTTTTTAATGTTCACTAATAACATTGGAGCTTATTTTTACCATCTTCTTTTTGCTATTTGTCTCATTTTTTTTCCTATGCTTTCCTTTTTGTCCTTGCTTCAAAAAATTTTTTTCTTATCCTGTTTTCTTCTCCCCACTACTGATTATGCAAGATTGCATCTCAAGCAAACTGACTGGTGACAGGGTTAGGGTTTGAAACTACCCATGGTCAGAGGTGGGGTTGGGGTGAGATGGCTTTTCTGAAAGGAGTCATATTGGCAAGTTATGGGGGAGAGGAGGCAGGGAGCTGAGTATGTCATAGGCGGTGGATTCTAAATCTTTTTTCTCTACAAATGTGAAACAAGGATGTCTGATAGGAACTGGAGGAAAGGGAAGTGGGAGTATGAGATGAGACTAATGAAGGCTTAAAAAATAGAACCTGAAGCAAAACTAGGTAAAGCAAAACTAGGTGAAAACCTGAACTAAGAGCCAGTAAAAAGACATAAAAGTGACAGTGAGGGTCCACCTGAGTTGGAGACCAAGAATTGTGTAGGGCTTGGGTATAGGAGCATAAAAGGCAAGACTATAGCTTTGGTACAGATTTGGGATTTTGATGGGCAGTTGTAGCAGAGGGATGAAGATAGATGGATATGGAAGATACTTGTGAGAATGGTTCAAACATTGAGTCATTTGGAGTCCAGTTTGGGTTGGAAAGGAAAACAGATCAGCAGGAGGCAAGGAGACCAAGAGAAAATGAAAGATGGGGGATCCCTGGGTGGCACAGCGGTTTGGTGCCTGCCTTTGGCCCAGGGCGCGATCCTGGAGACCTGGGATCAAATCCCACGTTGGGCTCCCGGTGTGTGGAGCCTGCTTCTCCCTCTGCCTGTGTCTCTGCCTCTCTCTCTCTCTCTCTCTGTGTGACTATCATAAATAAATAAAAATTTAAAAAAAAAGAAAATGAAAGATGGACTTAAGAGACTGTGGTCTTTTTTTTAAGATTTTATTTATTTATTCATGAGAGATACACAGAGAAAGGCAGAGACACAGGCAGAGGGAGAAGCAGGCTCCCTGCAGGGAGCCCGATGTGGGACTCGATCCCGGGACTCTGGGATCATGCCTTGAGCTGAAGGCAGATGCTCAACCACAGAGCCACTCAGGCGTCCCACGAGAGAGACTGTGGTCTTGAAGTGGTTGAAGAACAGGTCTAGTGGGAATGAGCTATGGTCAGAAAAATGGGGATTACTGAATTTAAGATTTTAGGAGGAGGCAGTTCTGGTTGATCTGGTCCATAAGTGAAAAACAAAGAGAAGATATACAACATTAGCAGTTCCATTTTCTTATGGTGCTGTATTTATTTCCTCAATGATGTTCTTACATCTGTTGGTCTTAATATTACTTGGTCTCATTATTGTGTCAGTGTGCCTGTTTTATTACTTATCATTCCCAGTGTACCTGTGCCAGCCATCCTTGGTCTTTAGCTGCTAGGCAATTGGTAGATACCTATTTTATTCATGAGCAGCTGATATTTTAGCCAGTGCTCCATTCATAATCACATAGAGGAGAATCCATTTGCACAATGCTTTTGATTGCTCTGATAAACATTTTACAATAGTTTTGGCCATGATCCTGCCTGGACAGAGCCTTTAGAGTGCTAGCTCTAGAATCAGATTGCCTGGGCTTGAATCCCAGCAACTTTACTTACTTTGTTTACTACTGGGCAAGTTAACCTAACCTTTCCTGGATCCTCATCTATAAAATAGGGATAATAATACTACTGCGTTCTTAGGGTTGTTGCGAGGATTAAATTAATATATATAAAGTACTGCATTGTCTGCCATTATTGTCAATTCTCAATAAATAGAACTGATGGGGTGATGATCAGCAGTAGTGGCAGCAAGTGCAACACTTTTTTTCACAATATCATGTTAGGTGCTGGGCCAGATACAAAGAAGAATATTGAAAAAGCCCTTGTTCTCAGAGAGTGTAATATTCTCCTTGGTTTGAAAACTAAGAATTATTTCTCAAGATTATCTAAGAAAGGGTCCATGAAGGAAACTTAGTGTCTTACAGTTCAATAAAGACCAGGAAATAGCCAAGTCAAGAAACTGTTGATGGAACCTTATAACTATGCTGCGTTGTTTATAGTCTTCATTGTCCTGTAGGTAATTGGAAAAAAAAAGAGTGGAAAAGTGCTCATGGTCTAGTTTTAAGGGAGAGCAGAAAAGGAAAAGATGATCCTCATTTCCTTTCAGCTTTGTCTACCCTGAGCACTTTGACTGACATGACTACCAAATCGTACTTTCAGATACAGTCACTCTTCCTGAGGACCAGCCCTGTGCCTCCAACTACTTTCTGAGCCTAATTACCTGGATATCCTGTATGTATGTAGCACAAACTCACTATGACTAAAATGAAACTTCTTGCTTTACTTCCATACCTGTTTCTTCTCTTATAACTCTTCTCACTGTTAGGATTATTACTAATCTATCAGTTGTTAAACCAAGACAGGTAAGGTAAGGCATCTTTGTGCCTTCTTCATCCTCTTAGTCACTCCATTCTGTTACTTCTGCTTCTCAAACTTGATTCTCTGCTCTTTGTCTTGCTGCCCTGGGTTACGCCTGCCCTGTAGCAGATTCAGCAAGTATGTGTATTGTTAAACATGGATTTCAAACATTGTGATTGGCCCTGTAACATAACAGTATTTCACTTTCTTGATAACTTTGTGAAATATATCATTTTGCACATGAGAAACTAGAGGGTGACAAATAAAATGACTTGCCAAGTTGGGTAGAGGTGCACTTGGTAAACCTAGATTGTCTTTTGTCTGGACTATTACAGCAATCCCCTGTCTCCTCTGAAATTTCTTTTTTAGGACTTAAAAGTAAGACTTCTTTACGTAAAAAAATCATAACTATATACAGTAAAAAAAGTGAAAGTTGCCCCTCCCAATCCTCCGCAAGAGAAACCAATGATCGTGGTTTTTGTTCCAGACTTTTTTCTCTGCATATACAAATGTATAGGTAAATACTTTACCAAACAAATCATTCAGTATAGTCTGGCAACTACTTATTTTTTCTACTCCAAGATGCATTTTCAAACAGATCTACCACATTTCTTAATGGTTGCATGGTATGCCATTATATGGAAGTATTTTTTTTAAAGAACTTCTTTGTTTTGTTCTTACAAATAATGTTACAGTAACATTCTTGTATATATATTGTTCTATGCACATTTGTATGAATATTTCTATAGGTAGATTCTTAGAAGTGGTATTGCTTGGGTAACGAATGCACATATTTTACAGTGTGTTATGTACTTCCAGATTGCACTTCAGTTTGTCTTTTGAATCAGTTCTTTTGTACTAAAGCTAGAGTAAAATGGATTTAATCATTTAATTTCCCAACATCAAAAACAAAGCAACAACAAACATGTTTGATGGACTTCTATTGTCTATGTAATAAATGCAAAAATTCTTAATTTTCAAGAATGCAAGTTATAGGGGTGGCTGGGTGGCTCAGTCAGTTAAGCCTCTGCCTTTGGCTCAGAGTCCTGGGATCATGCCCTACATTGAGGCTCCCTGCTTAGCAGAGAGTCTGCTTTTCCCCTCTCCCTCTCCCTCTGCATCTCTTCCTGCCTCTCTCCCTGCTCATTCTTTCTCTCTCTCTCAAATAAGTAAATAAAACTTTAAAAAAAGAATGAGAGTTATAAAATTTAGCCCAAACCTATCTTTCCTACCATTTCCTCCCACCAACAAAAATATGCTGCTTTATAAGGAAAAATTCACTTCTTCTGTGAAACCTTCCATGTATACGGGTCATTCTCTTCTCTCTCTATGCAAGATAGAATTAGTTGCTTCCTTCTTTAGGTTCCCATAGCATTTAATTTATTATCCCTCTGATAGCACTTAGTGCATTGTACTGTATTTATGCATATCTGTGTCCCCTACTAGTCTGTGAACTTAAGGACAGGAATTCTGTGTGTCTTAGTCATCACTGTATCCCTAGCACTTTGCACAATGCACATCAGAGTGAGTGCTTAACAAATGTGCATGAAATGGGTGAAGATATTCTTCAGGTAGTGGTAGCAACAAGAACTTTGGGAGATAGAGTAGGTGATGGAACTTTTAGAGTATAGCATAAAGCTATCTGAGTCCTGAGAACACAGAAGCTGGTCAGGAAAGGAAAAATGGGCTTCAACTGGCAGAAGTCCCTATGTGGTTTTCTTCTCTACTACAGAGACCAGCTGTCTGATTATTTGGTTTAATAGATTTGGGACTTGGGAAAATGTAAAGTATTGAAAAATTGGATGATCTAGGATTCACTTGCTGTAGGGAGAGTTCAACTCAGCTGTTCTGTGCTTAATCCAGACTAATGTGCTCATGCTGAAAGACTCAGCCCTTTTCCAGAGTCATGAATAAGTTATCCTTCTTGAAAATCCAGAGCTGCCTCATTTTCAAGGGCAGGATTCAGGTGGGAGTAGGAATGGTAAATAGGTCAGATATTTCTGCATTGTCTTTTTGTCCTGGCTTAAGGGGAAAGTAGTCTACTAAGAGGTTCTAGGGCTGTGGGACTACTCTGGAGTAAATTATCTGTGTGAAAAGTAGTCCTTATCTTATTTCAGGCAACTGTGGTGGCATTCCTGGTCTGATTGATTTGAAGAAAGAAGAGTAGAATAAAAATATAGAATAAATCATGTCAGAGATACTTGACCTCTCTTTTCTGTCTGAGATGGAGAGGGATTTGATCCTCAGTGTTCTACAACGAGATGAGGAGCTCCGGAAAGCAGATGAGAAAAGGATTAGGTAAGCATTCCAGAAAAAGCATGGGTGCCCAGACCTTTGACCAATTTTATCTGGACCTTTCCTTATACCTCCCATGTGACTTTCAGAAGAACTTATGTATCAGTATACAATTCCTCCCTTGGGCTCTGAAGTTGTTGCTTCTGTAGAACCAAATTTTAATTACCAAACCAAAGTCTTACTGTCTACCCCTCAACAACTCTCCATGCAACCTATGCAGACTGTGAACGCACTTGTGCTTCTCTTTGGGTTCTTGGCAGGCGACTGAAGAATGAGCTACTGGAGATCAAAAGGAAAGGGGCCAAGAGGGGCAGCCAATTCTATAGCGATCGGACCTGTGCCCGGTGCCAGGAGAGCCTGGGCCGTTTGACTCCCAAGACCAACACTTGTCGGGGTTGTAATCACCTGGTGTGTCGGGACTGCCGCATCCAGGAAAGCACTGGTACCTGGAGGTGTAAGGTGTGCACCAAGGAGATGTGAGTATCACCTGTGGAGAGAGGCAAGGAGGCCCTGGCTGTGGGGAGAATTTCCCTCCTCGGCCTTTGTTAGTTGAATGGCAAGAGACATTTAAAAAAAAATTCACTTGTCACTTTCCTTTATTCCTTCTCAGAGAGCTGAAGAAGGCAACTGGAGATTGGTTTTATGATCAGAAAGTGAATCGCTTTGCTTACCACACAGGCAGTGAGATAATTAGGATGTCCCTGCGCCGCAAACCTGCAGGTACTGGCCCTGTCTGGAAATGGTTTTGTTTTGTTTTGTTTTTGAGGTACTTGACGTCAGTGAAAGATCCCTTGGCTTGGAATCCTATTATATGTTCTTACTAGTGGTGTCTTTACTTCATGGGCTCTGTGGGGAATATAAAGATTATATTGCATCCCTTCTGCAAGTGGGATGTGTTTCCATCCCCCTCCTCTCATTACCACCACTCTGCCATGCTTTTGTTTACCTCAAAGTGAATAAAAGAGAGACAGTGGGACAGTCTCTTCTTCATCAGTCACAGATGGATGATATCTGGCCAGGAAGAAGGATCATTCAGGAGCAACAGAAGGAGCCCAGGTAAGAACTAACAATCATTTACAGAGATGCTACACATCCTTTGAATTCTATTATTTTAAACTTTGTTCTATTTATCAAAGAAGAGCTGTTTATGACAGGAAAATTTGGAAAGTATAGAAAAGAATAAAGAGAGAGGGGGAAAATCTATTGCTACCACTCACATGTTAACATTATCATTTTGGAATATTTACTCTCTTCTTTTTAAGACCAATTTAAAGTTGAATAAAAATAACACATACTCATGATTAAAAATTTAACCTGTACAGGAAACAATAAAGAAAGCAACAAATCACCCAAATTCCTAATACCCACAGTACTCATATGTGAAAATTATTTAAGGCATCATTTATCTATATATGTAGGTAGAAGGATGGGTGGGTGGATAGACTGAAAAACCTGTATAATATTGGATCATAATATATACATTAAAAGCATGCTATTTAATTTTACTTGAATTTAACAGAATAAAACAGAGGAAATAAAATTGAAGAATTGCTCATCTTCAGATAAATGTTTCTTTACCATAAAAGATATTAATCTTTAACATCCCTCTAAGTTTAAGAAAAAAAATCATAAAATCTATTGAGTAGTCATTTTTTTCCTAGTGTCTTTTAGGTAATAGTTTTATTGAGATAGAATTCACATACCATACAATTCACCCATTTATAATGTATAATGCAGTGGTTTTTAGTGTTCACAGAATCGTGCAACCATCGCCTTAACTGATTTTAGAACTTTTCATCACCTTAATAAGAAACTCTATACTCTTTTAGCTAAAACTCCCAACTTCCTTATCCTTTCCCACCCCTAAGCAATCACTGATCTACTTTCTCTCTATATATATTTGCCTATTCTGGACATCTCATTTAAATGGAATAAAAGAATATGTGATCCTTTGTGACTGTCTTTTCTCACTTAATGTAATGTATTCAAGATTCATCCATGTTATAGCATGTATCAGGACCTAATTTCTATTTATTGCCAAACAATATTTGATTATATATTCGAATGTTCTATTGTATGTATATACCACATTTAATTTATCCATTCATCTGTTGATGGACATTTGGATTGTTTTTACTTTTTGGTTATTATAAGTAATGCAGCTATGAACTTTCATTATGAGTTTTTGTATGGACATACATTTTCATTCCTTTTAGGTAGATACCTAAGAGTGGAGTGCTGTGTCAGTCACTTAGTCATTTTTAAAAAATCTACCTGTTTCAATATTATCACTGTACTCTGTGCTATGAAAGAGAAGGAAATTAGGGGCACCTGGGTGGCTCAGTTGGTTAAGTGGCTGCCTTCGGCCCAGATCATGATCTCAGGGTCCTGGGATCAAGCCCCCATTGGGCCTCCTGCTCAGCAGGGAGTCTGCTTCTCCTCTCTCTCTGCCTCCTCTCCCCTGCTCGTGCTTATGCTCTGTCTCTCTCTCTCAAATAAATAAATAAAATTTTAAAAAGAGATTAGCTTTCTTATACTTTCTCCAAATACTTTACCCTACTCTCATTTTTTATACTCAAATTACTTTTACTTTGACAGCACTTCTAACATTTACATTCTGTTATGCAACCATAAACCATCTGCCTGTTTTATCTGTTTAGTTTTTGTTCATATTTAACAGGAGTATCCTTATAACCTTGGACCATGGCTTCTTTGTATTTCTGAATTTTTTCCTTTCATTTTTTTCTTGGTTGTTTGGATTTTATCACTGAGAAGTTCCTTCAAGAAGGGCTTGCAGAAGCAATATTTATTTTACTCTTTCATGTTAAGAATGTCTACCTACTGACTTAATACTTGAATGGTATCTTGGCTGGATATTGTATTCTTGAGTCACACTTTTTTTCCCTTATAATTTGTAGACATTATTCCATTGTCTTCTACTATTGAGTGTGACTGTGATGAAGTCTGAGGTCAGCAAGCCTTCTGTTTTTCTCCCTTGTAGGTAACTTACTGTGCGTATGTGTGTAGGTACACACATGTCTCAATGGTGATCATTCTGTATCCTCCTAATATGTACCCTTGATGAGTCCTTTGTTCATTGCTGGAATATTTTTCTTTTTTTTAAGATTTTGTTTATTCATGAGAGGCACAGAGAGAGACAGAAATATAGGTAGAGGGAGAAGCAGGCTCTCTGCAGGGAGCCTGTTATGGGACTTGATCCCGGGATCACACCCTGAGCTGAAGGAAGATAGATGCTCAACCTTGTGCTGGGCCCCTTGGCTTCTGCTGGCTGGCATTCATCCATACACCAGCCAGCCTTCTCTGTTTCTGCTACTGTTAGAAATGTCCCTGTTACTGTTCAGACATTCTCTAGTACATTCTCAAACCTTCCTTAATTGTCATCTGAGAGTGGCCACCTCCTATGCATACAAATCAATCATTATAATTTTCCTCAAGAAATTCTGGGAAGAGGAAGTGGTGGTTGGGCTGGATGAGAATATTTCTGCTCTAATCAGCAAGCCTCTCTTATTGATGATGTAAGGACAATTTCTACCAGCTTTGGGGGAGGCAATAAGAAGAAAAAAAGGGATACTTTGCTCTCCCCTTGACAGAGGTAATTGCCTTAACTGCTACACAATGTTTCACTCTCAACCTCTTACACTCTCATTCCTGAGAAACCCCTGAGTTGCTCTCTTTTCTGGCCTCATATTGTTTTTCAATAGGTTAAGGTTACAACTATTAATAAGCTAGGGCTTTTGCTCCGAGGCTGTCAAACTAGCCCTTTTCAAGTCTGTAAAACTTGTGTAGCAATTAAGAGATATGAAATCTCATATATTCATGTAAGTAGCTCTTCTATTCATGTTTTTGCCTGGCTATAACTGGAGATGCTTTTAAACTACAAGCTTTTTTATTAAGTAGAAAATATGCTTATTGAGAGGAAGGGCAAGATGTTCCTAGTGACCTGTCTAAAGAATCCCTTTTACCAAAGACAGCTTCTATCAAATGAGAGCAAGAATTGTACTGATTCTGAACAATGTAGGGGCAGGACAATAAAATCAGGACATTTTTTAAAATTGCCTTTTTATTTTTTTAAGGATCTTATTTATTTATTTATTCATGAGAGACACACACACACACACAGAGGCAGAGACATAGGCAGATGGAGAAGCAGGCTCCCTGCAGGAGCATGAGGTGGGACTCAATCCCAGGATTCCAGGATCATGACTTGAGCCAAAGGCAGACGCTCAACCACTGAACCACCCAGGTGTCCCTGGAAAATTTTTCTATGTCATATCCTCTGAGCTTTTCTTCTGTTTTATTAGTTAAATTTCCCACCCTAGGGACGTTGGATTTCTTATTTATTTATCCTCCTTTTCTTTTAGTATCGAATGCAAGAGAAAAGAAAGGTAAAAGCAATTCACTGTGATTAACCCAACCTTTTCCTCTATGCTTTGATTTTCAGCCATTTTCTTTCCTCCCCTTTTCCCCTTTCGTTTTGCTATATCTAATGTACTTTTAGAATGAATTATCTTGGGATACCTGGGTGGCTCAGTCGGTTAAATGTCAGACTCTCGATTTCAGCTCAGATCATGATCTCAGGCTCATGATCTCAGGGTCCTGAGGTCAAGCCCTGCATTGGGCTCTGTGCTCAGTGCTCTTCCCTACCTCATGTGCCTCTCTCTCTCTCTCTCTCTCTCTCTCTCTCTCTCTCTCTGTCTCTCTGTCTTTTTTTTCTCTCTCTCTATCTCTCAAATAAATACCTAAAAAAGTGAATTATCTTGATTAGGTTTTAATTTATTCTTTGCTCTCAATCTTCCTTTTACTTCTGTCTATTTGTTGTTTTTCCATCTTTCCTGTTTGCACTCTTATGCTTTATCAAATATATATTCTTATTGAGTTTCTATATAGTATAAAGCACTCACAAGCAATCTATTTTCTGAGGGTTATACTCTTCTCCAGAATAGTTCTTTGACCATCTTGCAAGTTGTTTCTATTTCTCCACCCCATGGCAATTTATATATTTATCTGCCAGACCATTTCTTCTCGTATTACTCATGTTGAAGCTAGGAAGTTCTTCTGCCTATATCTTTTATTTGCTCTGATATAGTGTGTGAATTCTCCTTGACACCTCCTTCTCACCTCAACCTGAAACAATTTATCTCTTCCATACACCCAACTGTACTTCAAGCATAAAATATTGCTTTCTATATACTTCTTTTATTGGAACCTAAGGGGAAAACAAAAGGCAACTTGGGGGTCTTGGGGTTTGGTCTGCTGAAATTCTCTTAAATGTCCAGGCTCACATGGTCCAGCTTTGGATACATCATCTAACTCCTAGCAGTGTCATGAGAGATGACATACACCAGCAGTCTTGTCTGCATCTGTTGATACCTGGGACTACAAATCTTGAGAACTTTTGTTTTCCTTGTCTTATTCCAGGACTGCCTACTCACTCTGTACATCTCTGTACATCTCTGTATTGGATGGAATTTTGCTGAGCTAAATCATTCTTCTGTTTTCTTAGCCATGACTTTTTGAACTTTATAACAGGAGCCTTTACTCCTTATTTGGTAGCTGCTGGTGGTTTTTTTTTTTTTTTTTGGCTTTTTACTTGTGTTTTTCCCCTAAATTTCCCTGAGCCAAAGGGAAATGACTTAATCATGTTTTGTATGATTGTTGAAAAGCAATATTAGAAATATGTAAAATGAGTCCCCAGTAACCTCACTGCTTCTGCCCCAGACTACTATTGTTAATGGGTATTACTAGTTTTGGTGATGGACTACCAGACTATCTAAATGTACAAATATGGATTGGATTCTTACATTTTTAATTTCTTTTTAAAAAAACTGTCATACTACATACATAGTAAATGGTAAAAAATGAAAGAGAGAGAATTTTAAAAACTCAATAGTATAGATAATCCAGTAGAAACTTGGCAAAATATTTGAACAGACACTTTGCCAAAGGCAAGATACAGGTATTGAATAAGCACATAAAAAGATGCTCTCAACACCTTTAGTTATTAGGGAAATATGAAAAAATCATAATAAAATGCTACTGTATAACCATTAGAATGGATAAAATTTAAGAACTAACCATACCAATTATTGGTGAGGATGTAGAGCAACTGGAATTCTCCTACACGTTGGTGGGAATGTGCAGCAGTGCAGCCTCTTTGAAAACCAGTCTAATAGGAGTTTAGTTAAATATGCTTTACCTTGTGTTTCACCCATTCCATTCCTCAGTATTTACTCAAGAGAAGCAAAAGCATGTGTCCTTGCAAAGACTTGTACATGGATGTTCATAGCAGCTTTGTTTGCAATAGCCAAAACCTGGAAACAGCTCAAATGTCTATAAACAGGCAAAGGGATAAATTGTGGTTTGTTTATACAGTGGAATACTACTCAGTGATGGAAAGGAATAAACTATTGATACGAGCAATAATATGGGTGAATCTCAAAATAATCATGCTGAGTGAAAGAAGCCAAACAAAAGAGAGGGCATACTGTATGATTCTGTTTATATAAAGTTCTAGAAAATGCAAACCAAAGAGTAGTGGCAGATGCAGATCAGCACTTTCTGTCTGGGAACAGAGGTAAGCAGGGAGGAATGGATTATGAAGGAGTGAGTGGAAGCTGTTGAGAGTGATAGGAGTATTCACTAACTTAATTGCGGTGCTGGTTTCACAAGTGTATGTACATGTTAAAACTCATCAAATCACACACTTAACCATGTGTTACTTATGTCAGTTATAACTCAAGGTGTAAAAGGAACAATTATAGAAAAATAAAACATCGGCACCTCTCCATGTCTGCACTAAGGGTCTATCATTCTTTTTGCCATATGTATGGTGTTTCATGGTATGTATGCACTGTGATTTAATCCACACAGCATTGGGTGGGTGACTCATCTGTTCTAGGTGATGAGGCCCCCCTTTTCCTTGGTGGATAAGGATAAAAACAACTTTTATTTTCTGAATCTGATTAACACATCTGACATCATCGGTCAGAATGTAATTTCTGAGACCTACTGCTTCTGGCTGTCTATGACCTCTTGTCTCATTGGATCCAGAAGACTTATTTATCCTAAACATGGAAGCAGATTAAGTGGCCATAAATGATCTTTGCCATAAAATTATGGAGTCTCAGAGGTAATCAAATTCAGCCCTCTTATTTTTACAGAAAAGAAAACAAGATAAATAATTTACCTGAGATCATACAGATAGTTAGAGCCCAGGACTCTCATCTCTTAGTCTATTTTTTACTGCACAGATGCCAATAATTGCCTTTTTGCCCTAGGGTTATTTGTATCAGCTTTGGATTAGTACGTATTAATCATTAGGACAAAATACAAGCAGAAAACACACTCCATGGGTTATTGTTAAACTACTTCTCTAGAGGAATGGTTCTGCTTTGGATTCTTTATTCTTTGGAGCAAAGGGAGAAAAAGAATGATTCTAAAGTAAAAATGAAATCAACTTCCCTGCTGCGCCTTGAACTATAGAGCTATCTCTCAGGAAATGACCACTGTTTCACCTCTTGCATGCCCTAGGATTTCAACCCCTGCTGCCTTTTTTCATAAAACTATTGCAAACATGATGTCATAACTTGGAATGTTTATTCTTTACTGCCTAAGACATTATAGATTCTGGTTACTTTGTTCTTTTTTTTTTCCTGGTTACTTTGTTCTTTGTTCATATGTTAATTGACATATTTTTAAAACAAATGTCTACAAATGCCTACTATTTGCCAGGCACTGTTTTAGGGCTTGGGATACACTGGTAAATACAATAAAGTTCCTTGCCTGTGGAGCTTAGATTTGGGGACAGGGAGACACAGACAATAATCAAGTAAACATATCAAATCAGATGTTGACAAGTGCTATAGAGAAGACAAAGCTGTCTAAAGGGATAGGGAGTGGCAGGAAGACATGTGTGTACACATGCTGTTTTACTTAGGATTGCCAGGGAAAAGTCTCAATAATACAGTGATATCTGAGCAAAGACATGAAGCAGACAGGGGAGCAAACTTTTGAGAGGATCTGGGGGAAAAGCATAATGGGCAAAGAAAGCGGAAGATGAGTTTGTATTTGGTGCGTTTGAGTAATCTGGAACTGAGCGAGCAAGGGGAGAGTGGTAAGAGATGAAGACAGAGAAGGGATGAGAAGCATATCACAAAAGACTTTGTTGGCGCTTGTAAGGAATCTCACTCCGAGTGACATGATGTTTTTTCTATTTTGAAATTGAGGTGAAACTCACATGACATACAATTAATTGTTTTAACAATTTTAAGGTATGACATTCAGAGGCTTTTAGCACTTTGAGAATGTTCTGTAACCATCGCTTGCCACTGTCTAACATCAGAATATTTTCATGACTTCAAAAAGAAACCCCACACCCATTCAGCATTCTCTCTCTGTTTCCTCTAGTCCCTAATCTGCCTCCTTTCTCTGTAGATTTGCCTGCTCTGGATACTTCACATAAGTGGAATCATATAAAATATGTCTTGCTTCTTTCATTTAGCATAATGTTTTCAAGGTTCACCCATGTTGTAGTATGTATCAGAACTGTATTTTTTGACAGTAATATTTCATTGTATGGACATACTACATTTTGTTTATCCATTCATCCATTGGTGGACAGACTATTTCCACCTGTTGGCTATTGTGAATAATGCTGGTATGAACATTCATGTACAAGTTTTTGTGTGGACACATGTTTTCAGTTCTCTTGGGTATATACCTAAAAGTGGAATTGCTGGGTCATTTGGTAATTCTATATTGGATTTATATTTTAAAAGCTCATTTTGACTGTCTATTGAGGTTAGATTGTGTAGGGGAAAGGGTAGAAGTAGGGAGTTCATTCAGGAGGCTATTGTGACCATAATGTGACCAGTAGCTAGGTGATGGTGGTTTGGATCAAAGCAACGTCAGTTGAGGGGGTGAGAACTGGTCAGTTTCTAGATATAGTTGAAGACAGAGCCAAGAGTATTTGCTAACAGATTGAGTTTGTATTGTGAGAGAATAAGGGGAGTCAAGGGAAACTGTTAAGATTTTTGACCAGAGAAATGAAAGGAGGAAGTTGCCATTTGATGAAATTGAAGGAAAAGCAGATTTGGGGGAGGATTAGGGCTTTAGTTTTGCCCTTGCTGTGTTTGAGACATCCAAGCAGAAATGGCAAGTAGGCTGTTGGAAATACAAGCCTGGCATTTGAGTGAGAGATAAATTTAGGAGTTATTGGTTTATAGAGGATATTTAAAGCCATGAGATGAGATGAGATCATTTAGGAATAATTCTAGATAGTGAAGAGAAGCAGTCTAAGGAACACGCCTGGACACAATCCAAAGATTAGAGCTTTAGGAGATGAAAGACCAGCAGAAGACCCTGAGAAGGGGACCCCAGTGAGGTCAGAGAACCAGGAGAGAGTCATGTCCTGGCAGCCAAGTGAAATTAATTGAGATCCTTTTTTTAAAAAAAGATTTTATTTATTTATTCATGAGAAATACACACACACACACACACACACACACACACAGAGGCAGAGACATAGGCAGAGGGAGAAGCAAGTTCCTTGCAGGGACTCGATCCAATAACCCTGGGATCATGACCTAAGCTGAAGGCAGACACTCAACCACTGAGACATCCAGGCGTCCCAGCCGAGCAGTTTTAAAAGTATACTCAGATATTTATCGTAGAAAGACCACTCAGGCTCCCATTGTGAATGGGTTGGGAGGAAGCCTGATTCCCAGCAGGAGAACCTACTTCCTTTACATATTGGCCTTTGGTTTTTATTCTAGTGTGCCATTTGATGTGCCTAAGCTGAAAAGTGGAAAGAGTGCACTGGAGGCCGAGAGTGAAAGTCTGGACAGCTATACAGCTGACTCAGATAGCCTGTCCAGGTGAAATCCCTGCGAGTGCCTGCACCTCCGACTACATTTTGTTGTCAAGTTCAAGATGCAGGGCTCCTATACCTTCAGTGTGTCTTCCTTCTGTCCTCAGCAAGTCAAATGAAGTATTTTCTCTGACCTTGCCACAAGTTTGTCAGTAGTACATCTGCTGTTGGCTCCGAGCACAGTCTTCTGGAGCGTGCTAACTTCCATGGGCTGCTGTATCTTAGAGGAGTCTCCCTGGACCAGTAGCAACTGCCCCTGCTGTCCCTTAGGAGTGGGGGAGTAAGTGTGTTTGTGCAAAGTTGCTTATATGATTGTCTACATTCCTTCAAAGGTAAATCAGATGTGACGTTTACTTTCTGGATTTGGTTACTGCAGTGACCCCAAGCCAGTGGATCTCATTCCATAGAGCTTCCATAGATGGGGAAGTTGAGCAGGTGATTTTGTTATAACTTCTATATCTACCCCCAGGAGAGACTCTCTGGATAAATCTGGCCTCTTTCCAGAATGGAAGAAGATGTCTGCCCCCACATCTCAACTGGAAAAGGTAAGCTTTAGTTATTGGTCAGTTGGGATCTCTCTCTCTCTCTCATTTTTCTTCTCTTCTCTCTCTTTTTTCCTTCTCAGGAACAGTTTACATTGAGAATTCATCTAAATGGGGTACCTGGGTGGCTCAGTCAGTTAATCATCTGCCTTGAGCTCAGGTCGTGATCCCAGGGTCCTGGGATCGAGTCCCACATCGGGCTCCCTGCTCAGCAGGGAGCCTGCTTCTCCCTCTCCCTCTGCCACTCCCCCTGCTTGTGCTCCCTTGCACTCTATCTCTGTCAAGTAAATAAATAAAATCTTTAAAAAATATATTTCCTTATTTATTTCCTTATTTATTCATGAGAGACACAGAAAGAGAGAGGCAGAGACACAACACAGGCAGAGAGAGAAGCAGGCCCCATGCAGGGAGCCCGACATGGAACTCGATCCCAGGTCTCTAGGATCATACCCTGGGCTGAAGGTGGTGCTAAACCGCTGAGCCACCCGGGCTGCCCATAAATAAATAAAATCTTAAAAAAAAAAAAGAATTCAACTAAACAAATTTCAGTGCAGATTCACTTGGGAGCATTTAAGGTTTTGGTTGAACCACGTGAAAAAATAGGTTTTGTACTACTTCCTAGGATTAAATTAAATTCCTAAGATTAAAGTAATCTTTCCTGGGATGCCTGGGTGGCTCAGTGGTTGAACGTTTGCCTCTGGCTCAGGGCATGATCCCAGGGTCCTGGGACTGAGTCCCACATCGGGCTCCCCTACAATAAATATCTGAGTATACTTTTAAAACTGCTCAGCTGGGAAGCCTGGATGTTTCAGTGGTTGAGCGTCTGCCTTCAGCTTATGTTATGATCCCAGGGTCCTGGGATCGAGTCCCTGCAAGGAGCCTGCCTCTCCCTCTGCCTATGTCTCTGCCTCTGTGTGTGTGTGTGTGTCTCATGAATAAGTAAATAAAATCTTTACAAAATAAATTCATCTTTCCTTTAACTTTGTATAGTTTAGCAAAAATCTGACCTTTATTCTTCTTAAGGCTATTTTTCCTTACTTTATCCTTCCACCTTTCCTACAGTCCTTTTCCATTTCCTTGCCCTTATTCCTTCCTAGGAAACTCAACCTGGGGATCAAAATGTGATATCTGTTGATGAGGGTGAAATGATATTTAAGAAGAACACCAGAAAAATCCTCAGACCTTCAGGTAGGTTTCCTATCATGGCCTTAGAGATTGAAGTCCTGCGTACCCTGGATGTGTTCTTGGTGTGGAAAAGAATGGGTCTCTTATGATTTGGGTTTTTGGTCTTCCATTTAGAATATACTAAATCCGTGATTGATCTTCGCCCAGAAGATGTGGGACATGAAAGTAGCTCCTTGGGAGACAGAAGCAAATCTGTCCCAGGCCTCAGTGTAGATATGGTAAGTACCAGTGTATTGGTCACTATATGAAATTTGATAAATCTAGGGTTGACCTTAGTACTTGATACTCTTAATCAACCTGTTTAATTCTTTAGGAAAAGACAACATGAATCTTGATTCCTTCAAATTTCTAAAGTAAATCTGGTTGCTGAATTGCCTAAAGAAAAAGAGTGTCTTCGCTGTCTCTTTTATCTTCTAACATGATGCTTGATATCTAGTTGGGAGCTTAAATGAATATTTATTTTGATTAAAATATAAAGGGATGGTTGGGTTGGGGCAGTTGAATGGGAAAGAGATATTCTTATCTTATTCTTTTGAGATTGGAGAAAAATGGTTGGAATATAGTTTGGAAACCTGAAATTGGAGACACAGAATAAGGATTCATGTGTGCATGTGCACAGGACATCTCAGAGTTTAGCGATAATTATGGCTCCCACTTAAAATCCGGCATTGTGATGCCCCCGGCTAAAGGAAGCTTATCAGTTTTTTTTTAAGATTTTATTTATTTATTAGAGACACACACATACAGAGAGAGAGAGAGAGAGAGAGAGAGAGAGAGAGAGAGAGAGAGAAGGAAAAGCAGGCTCCATGCAGGGAGCCCAATGTGGGACTCGATCCCGGGTCTCCAGGATCACATCCTGGGTTAAAGGTGGCGCCAAACCGCCGAGCCACCCGGGCTGCCCAAGCTTATCAGTTTTTGAACTTTTCCTTACTTTATTAACTCTCAATCTATATTTATTGTTCTAGGAAGAGGAAGAGGAAGAAGAGGACATCGACCATCTGGTGAAGCTGCATCGCCAGAAGCTAGCTAGAAGCAGCATGCGAAGTGGTTCCTCCATGGTAAGTTCTATTAGTTCTGTAGACATGTTGGGGTACCAGGAATGAAGGAATATCTCTCTAGAACAGAGTCAGGACCTGGGGAAAGCATCCTAGTCACTCTTTCCAAGTAAGTGAGATACATCTGTCTGTTCATATCCTCAATTTAGATAGTGATTGCTTAGTGGACAGCTAGGTGACTTTCCTTAGCCTCTCCCCTGGAAGTAGTAAGATAATTAGACAGCTAGGGCTAAAGACATTCTTTTTTTTAAAACTTAAATTCAAGTAGCCAACATATAGTACATCATTAGTTTCAGATGTAGGGTTCACTAATTCATCACTTGCGTATAACACCCAGTGGTCATCACATCACATGCCCTCCTTCATGCCCATCACCCAATTACCACATTACCCCACCCACTACCCCTCTAGCAACCCTCAGTTTTCTATGGTTAAGAGTCTCTCATTTTTCTCCCTCTCTGATGACTTCCCATTCAGTTTTCCTTCCCTTCTCCTATGAGCCACTGCACTGTTACTTATATTCCTCATATGAGTGAAATCATGTAATTGTCTTTCTGATTGACTTATTTCACTCAACATAATACCCTCCAGTTCCATCCACATCAATGTAAATGGCAGATATTCATTGTTTCTGATGGCTGAGTAATATTCCATTGTATGTATATGTGTATATACATATATATACACATATACATACATACTCACACACACACACACACACACACACACACACTACATCTTTATCCATTCATCTGGTGATGGACATCCTGGGTCTTTCCTCAGTTTGGCTATTGTGGACATTGCTGCTATAAACATTGGGGTGCAGGTGACCCTCGGATCACTACATTTTTATCTTTGGGGTAAATACCTTGAGGTACAATTGCTGGGTTGGAGGGTAGCTCTATTTTTAACCTCTTGAGGAATCTCCATCCTGTTTTCCAGAGTGGCTGTACCAGCTTGCACTACCACCAATAGTGGAAGAGGGGTCCCCTTTCTCCGCATCCGTGCCAACATTTATTGTTTCCTGATTTGTTTATATTAGGGCTACAGATGTTCTTGATTACAGCTTTGTGAACAGTAAACCATAACTTCTCCCCCATTTTTGGGGAGAAGGCCATGAAGTGAGCAAGATAGTAAACCATAACTTCTCCCCCATATTTGGGGTAACAGGCCATGAAGTGAGCAAGACAATATTTCTTCATCAGAGTCCATTCCAGATCTCACATTCAAGAGCATTGTCATGAGAGGGGGCCCTGGCAAGGTTAATTGACATCAGGGTATGATTGAGAAGCAGCAATATCAATCAGAATCATGAAGTTAAAAGGGCATTTAAGAATCAGGGCCTAGTTCTGTCAGAAGTATGAAGATCGGTGTTTAGGGGACAGAGAGTCAGGAACTGGGGTGATTGGAGTTTGTTCCCACTCACACATGGAAATAGGGTGGCAGGCATACAGAACTGATTACTACCTGGGAGAAAGAGGTCTTTTTACCTCTGGTGGGATTCCCCCCCCCCAATTCTGACATAATCACTTTTTTCTGTAGGTCTTGATAGGGATAAGGCAGATAAAAGAAACCCACACATGTATACACACACACACACACACACCATGGAATATTACTCAGCCATCAGAAAATGAAATATCACCATTTGCAACGATGTGGATGGATCTAGAGTGTATTATGCTAAGTGAAATAAGTCAATCAGAGAAAGACAAATACCATATGATCTCACTCATATGTGGAATTTAAGAAACTAACAGATGAACATATGGGAAGGGAAAAAAGAAAAAAAGGAGAGAGAGAGAAGCAAGCTGTAAGAAACTCAATGATAGAGAACAAACTGAGGGCTGATGGAGGTGGGTGGGGAATGGGCTAGATGGGTGATGGGTGTTAAAGAGGGCCCTTTTGTGATGAGAACTGAGTGTTGTCTGTAAGTGATGAATCATTGATTTCTATTCCAGAAACCAATATTGCACTGTATGTATGTTAACTAAAATTTGAATAAAAAAAGAAACCCACAGATAATTAAGGCACTTTGTTTTAATTAGTAACTGACCCCTCGAGCCCACATTTTAGCAAATATAACATATACCAAAAACATAGTTTCATTTTACCTGTACTCCTTGTCTACCTTCTGGGGCAGGTGAAAACTAAAAATGAAATCTCTAAAAAGAGGGGAGAAAGAGAAGCTAAGAGCATAGGTGAGCCATGAACTGATTATTAAGCTCAAAAATTCTGAGTGTGCTCCTGGCTGTCTTGTACAAGACTATTGGCAGTGCTGGCTTATTGCAGGGGCTTCTGAAGCTTTTGTTTTGTTCGGTGACTGTGGCTTTATTATGAGGGAAGATTAAGCAACGTGAGAGGGGGAGCTATGCCTTTACCAGATGTTTATGGGTGCTTTATCTTCAGAGTACAATTGGCAGCATGATGAGCATCTATAGTGAAGCTGGTGATTTTGGAAACATCTTCGTGACTGGCAAGATTGTCTTTACCCTGAAGTATGAGCAGCAAACACAGGCTTTGGTCATCCACGTGAAGGAGTGCCACCAGCTGGCCTATGCTGATGAAGCCAAGAAGCGCTCTAACCCGTGAGTTCTTCTGGAACCTGACTGATGCTGAGATGAGAGCTTAGACCCTCGCGTCTATGTGGGTGCTCTTGAGCCGAGGTTATCACCTCCTGGGCAGACAGGGAGGTGTGATTGGGAGTGGTTAGGGGAAATACAAGAAAGGAAGGGACCAGAACTGGGAAAATGCAATAAGGACATGTTTAAGAGGGTTTGATGTGGCATTTTCATTTCATCATGGCATATGTACATGGAGAGCAGAGAGCTGAAGAATGGACTTGAGAAAAGACAACAAATGACTCAGTACTTTCCTTGGGTTCTAGATATGTGAAGACTTATCTTCTGCCTGACAAGTCCCGCCAAGGAAAAAGAAAAACCAGCATCAAGCGGGACACCATCAATCCACTGTATGATGAGACCCTCAGAGTAAGTATCTAGATCCTGAGAGTAGAACATATTCTGTCTTGTGCACTAAGCTGCAGCTATTCCTCTGCCACATGACTGGTTGACATGGTTTTCAATGAGATATACCATGGGCATCTGTTCATATACTAACCTCCTGGAGAAGAAAACAAAAGTGATCTGGCATTCTTGGATTGTTGTGAAATTGGAGATACATGGAACCACAAAATCTCATTTTATTTTATATTTTAAAATATTCTATTAGAGAGAGAGAGAGAGAGAGAGAGAGAGAACGTGAGTGGGGGGAGATACAGAAGGAAAAGCAGGGAGCAGGAAGCCCAAGACAGGGCTCCATCATGATCTGAGCCAAAGGCAGACCCTTAACCAACTCAGCCACCCAGCCGCCCCCACAAATCTCATTTTGAAAAGTCTTTTGGGATCAGGAGTTTCTGTGGCAGTCCTTTCTGAATACTCCATTGTTCTTTCACCTAGTCAAGGAAAAATTAATTTTCCAGGTCCTACCATGGAATATGGTAGGTTTTTGTGAAATGGGGTAAGTGAAGACTTTAAGGAAACTCAAAGTGCTTAGGGACAAAAGTCATTTGGTATTCAGGATTAAGGACTTTGGGTATGGTTGCTCAGATTTTGGAATAATCTTTTCTGAGGAATTACCATAAACTAATCATCTTGGGCTTCTGCGTTTCTTTTCGCAGTATGAGATCCCAGAATCTCTTCTGGCCCAGAGGACTTTGCAGTTCTCAGTTTGGCATCATGGTCGTTTTGGCAGAAACACTTTCCTTGGAGAGGCAGAGGTCCAGATGGATTCCTGGAAGCTTGATGAGAAACTGGATCATTGCCTCCCTTTACATGGAAAGGTAGTCTGCTTTGACAACATACACAGTTTGGATCTCTGTCTGCAGGAACAGCACTCTGCTGGAACATGTTTGTTTTTTTTTTTTTTTTTTCTGGAACATCTTTAAATGTAATCTGTAGAGTTCTAGCGCACTCTGCTGGGGTTTCTGAGTTTGACAGTAACTTTAGATGCACTAGCATGTCAAGTGTGCTATCTCTCTGAGGGCCAGGCAAAGGATGAAGCCATGGTTTTCCTTTGAAAAGTCTTTCATATGTGTGCCAAGCTTTGCCTCATATCCTTTCAGAGTCTGGGCCTATCCTAACATCGTCACTTGCTCCTCTTCTAGAGCTGACTTTTTGGGTATATCCTAACGTGCACTCCTTTTCCAAGCTAATCTTTTCACTAAAGAAGTAGGAAGTAAAATAATTCACGGTGTTCTAATTGTGCTTTTTGTCACACAAGCCAGGGAAAATTTTACTTTGGAGATGGCATCTCAGGTGAGATTGTAGCAATGTGCATAATAGTGCCTGGGATCTGAGTGCAGATCTGGATTTGAATCCTTGTTCTGTTAATTGCCAGCTAGGTAAGTCACCCCTTTTATAAAATAACTTAGGTGAATCACTTAGCCTCTGTGAGTCTTAGTTTATTCATCTACAAAGTGGAGATAACAATAATATTCCTGTTTCACAGGATTGTCCACAAAGTGCCAATGGACATTTAGTAGGTTACTGTCATTCCAGTTAAGATGAAATTGCTAAAACAGAGTTAGGATTGAATCATGATATGAACTGTTCAATGGCAAGGTTCCTTGGTAAATTTTTTTTACACTGGCATTTTTGATGCTAAAAATAGTACGTGGTGCATAGACTCTTTGGAAAGATAGACAAGAAACTAGTAGCAGTGGCTGCCTCTGGGAAGAGAGACCAAGGTGAGAGAACAAATTAGTTTTTTTTCTATATGCCCTTTTAGAAGTTTGAACTTTTTACCATGTCTATGTGTATTGCTTATTTTAAAAAAATTAAGAGTAAGAGGATTTGTTTGCATGTGTTTCAAAATTACAATGATGTAGAAATAAGTACATTAGGAGAAAAGTACATTCAATTCCCTAGAAATAACCACTGTTATCGGCTATTTGGATATCTTTGCAGAGATTTTATATTAAGTAGCATGGATAATCCCAGCATACATGCAGGGATTTATATTTTTTCCATTTTATACAAATAGGCTTATATGAACCTCATAGTGTACATGTATCTTGATTTTTCTCATTTAACAATTTACTGTTTATCATGGGTATCTTTCTCTGCCATCACTTACATATCTATCTCATTTTTATTGCTGTATAGTATTCTCTCATTTGCCTATATTATAAATTGTTTGCTTTTTTTGCTGTTAAAACTATTCTGTAACTTATCTTGGCCTTCTTATGTGGAGGTAATGTAGGAGAAATTTCTAGTGGTAGAATTGCTGAGTCAGTCATGCAATATTTTGATAGCTACAGCCTTTCATAAAAAATATTAACAATGTTAAATCTGCCCCTTTAAATACTAATAAAAACAGGAAGGCAATTATCACCAAACTATAGCATATTATTAGAAATGTAGAATTTCTTTTTTAAAAAAGATTTTATTTATTTTTTTTTTGAGAGAGAGAGAGAGAGTGTTTGAGCATGAGCTAGGGGAGGGACAGAGGGAGAGGGAGAAGCAGACTCCTCACCGAGCAGGGACCCCTGCCCCCCGATGCAGGCCTCCATCCCAGGACCCTGGGATCATTACCTGAGCTGAAGGTAGATGTTTAACCAACTGAGGCAGAAATGTAGAATTTCTTAAGCATTTGACACAGGAATCATTGAGGGGCCTACAGTTGATATAATTATATTGGAAATGTCACCGTAAACCATTACATTCTACTGCCAATAAAAGTGTCTTACATCAGAAGAAAAAAAACTGCATTACAATGGAGACATTTGCTCTTCAAAATTATTTTGAGCTAGAATGGAAATATGCCACTGAAAAAATACACCAATTTCTAGCTAAGGCTAAACTCCAATTTTAAGAGTCTACTGAAGTTCACAATCTGGAAATTAATAAGTTTGTAGACATTTATAAACAACCAAAAGTCCACTCCGGCATCACATATCTATTTTAACTTAAAAATTCTACATTTATTGCCTCTGATCTATCCTTTTTTTCCCCTTAGCCATCCATTTGCTCCCATCCAGTTTTCTCTTCTTGGCATCCACCTCCCTATTTTTTTTGTATCATTCCCACACAGTAAACTGTATGTACACATTCTGGGTATGTGTACATTTTTCCAAACCAAAGGGGATTATACCTTCCTGGCATTAGTATACTCTATGCTAAGACCTAGGTGAGAGGAGCCCCAGTGACCACAGCAGGTGATAGGGTATGTCTGATCTGCACCAGCTCATGTTCTGGACACAAAAGTGTAAAGAACAGAACTATGCCGAGAGAGCCAATAGAGCGAAGCAATTCTGGTCCCAACAGCCAAAGATAATAGGCCAGTTGCTGCTCATTCCACACATTCATGCATTCACTCTTACATTCATTCCTTAAATATTTGTGGAGTACCTACTATGTGTCAGGTACTTTGCTAAGTATCAGGCATACTAGGCTGAGCAAGACTAGGGTGATTCCTATCCTCCTGGCATGTAGGTTCTAGTGGTAGAGACAGCCAATTAATCAAAAGTAGCACAAATAAATATAAAGTTAGAAATTGTGGCATGTTCAAATCCTTGTAACAGAGTTCCACTTAGGCCTCAAATCTTTGCAAACTCTCTTTTAAAAAATACTTTTCACCTTCAAAAATCCTACAAGCAATACACACCATTCTCTTTAAAAAGACTGTACACATATACACAGGAAAAAGTAAAAGCCCCTTTTCCTTTCCCCAATCTAGTCCTCTCTGTAGAATAAACAAGTGTTATATGTATCCTTCTGGGTTTTTCTATGCCATGTAGTATAGTGGTTAAAAGCATGGACTCTGGAACCAATCTGTCTGAATTTGAGTCCTGCCTCTGCCAATTTCTGTGTGACCTTGGGCAAATTACTTAATCTCCCTGTTCCATAATCTGTAAAATAGAGATAATAGTACCTATAGGGATTATCTTGAGGATGACACAAAATGATATACATAAAGTACTTACAACAGTGCCTGGCATGTAGTACGTACAATATAAGTGATAATGATAATAACCAATATTTATATACATACATATTCACATGTACAAATTATATTTCAATATAAATGGGATACTTTTTCTTCATTTTGCTTTGTTGACTTAATTGTACATCTTGGATAGCTTTCGGAGTCAGCATGTATGGATTCCCTGCATGCATTCTTTTTGATGATTGCGTGCCATAATCCATTCACCATATGCGGGCATTAAAATCACTCATTTAACCTTTTCTATATTGATCACTACCATTTAGGTTGTTTACACTTTTGGGCTTTTACTAATGATGTTGGTGGTAAGATTCTTTTTTTTTTTTTTTTTTTTTGGTAGTAAGATTCTTCGTCATGGTATCAGTGCTCTGTGAGTCTGTGGCAACTTTGCTGGAAGACCTTTGTGGGTATTTAGAATCTAGTAACTGTATCCCCAAAAGTAGCAAAATAGTGGGCATAGCAGAAGACTTAGCTGGTTCTTCTGTAGCTCCTTCTGAAGGAACTGCCTTGGAAACCGGTGGCTGCCATGGCCAAAGGTCCCAGGATTGTATTCATAAGGAGGATTCTCTTACATCATGAAGCTGTTCTTGGGGTTAAGTTTCAAATCTCTTCTATGAGAGGTCCCAACAACTCCTGAGAAGCCCAGCATGACCTGTCGGGTTTCCCTGTGTTTCAGATCAGTGCTGAGTCCCCGACTGGCTTGACATCACACAAAGGCGAGTTGGTGGTTTCACTGAAATACATCCCAGCCTCCAAACTCCCTGTTGGGAGTGACCAGAAAAAGAGTGAGTTTTGGGGGGAGGGGCCTGTTGTAGCCCTTAGTGTTCAAGGGTGTCTGTGAGATAGGGCAGCTGGTGGCCAACACTATTGGAGAGGCCAGATTGAGATACTCCCTGGATCATCTTCTAGGGAAGATTCGTTTGCTAAGGAAGCCCTTTTCCACATTGTTTTCAACCAGAAGGGAATATCTTAGGGTTGGCACTCTTTTTTTGGCCATGAACCTGGCTTAGTCTTGGTCCAGCAATGGCAATCTATTAAGAGGGCAGAATAGAGCAGAAACATTGGGGATGAGAAAGGTGGTTGCAAGGGGTCGTGAAGTATAAGGGACAGGGATTTGAAGGTGGCGGAAGAGTAAACCAACACGGGAGGCACGGCGCTAGTGACTATGGATGTGTAGATGAATAAAACACATTTGCCCTCCCTTGAGAAGCTTCGTTTAGCAAGGAAGACAGTCATCTGCTAAAAGAGCACAGACACAGGAGTGATAAATTCTCTCTGGTTACATTTGGGAGAGTTTTAAAGAGGAAGTAAGGATGAAACTGGACTGCATATTTTACCTATTAGAAAAGGAAGTGGATGGGGTGAGAAGAGCCATTCTAGAAGAGGTAGCATGAGCAAAGGTCTTTATTAAAAAGGCATGGTAAATGTGGGGTCGTATGTAAAGTGTGAGGTAGCGAACTCCTTATTTCAGTGGTGCTGGAGTCATGGTTTGTGTATATGAGAGTGGAGCTGGAATTGTTGATAAGGCTGGTTCCTGACAGTAAAGGGCTTTGAGCATAATGGTAGGGCATTAGTGCAATGAGAAGCCAAAGTTCTTAGAAAGACACCTGTAGTAAGGTCTAATCTATAGGCTATGGGGATGAACAAGACCCCCAGGAAGGGTGTGCAGGATGATTAGAGAAGACAGGTAGTGATAGCGCACTGTAGGGAAGAGCAATATTTTAAAGGATGAAGACTGGATGAAAAGCTTGTGAGGGAGAGGGTTATTAGGAAAGAGCTCAAAGAACAAAAGAGCAGAGATAGTCAGTAGTGCTGAAATCCTATTGGAATGTCAGGCCGGTGAGGACTGAGAAGGCATGGCTTATTGACGTTAGGTAGTATTTTCAGTGGATTAGTGGAAGCAGAAGCCAGGTTTTAGGAGAAACTGGGCTGAGTGAATGAAGCAAAGAATTAGAGGTAGTGAGTGTGGGCTTTTTTTTTTTTTTAGAATAACTGATGGTGAAAGAAAGAGATAAGGGTAAAGGGAGATTTTCTTTTTAAAGGATTTTTTTCCTTTTTTAAAAAAGATTTTATTTATTTGAGAGAGAGCGAGAGAGCACAAGCGAGGGTGAGGAGCAGAGGGAGAAGGGGAAGCAGACTTCCCACTGAGCAGGGAGCCTGAAGCTGCTGGATCCCAGGACCCTGGGATTAGGACCTGAGCCAAAGGCAGATGCTTAATGGACTGATCCACCCAGATGACCCCTTTGTAAAGGATTTTAAAAAGAAGAGGTGAGATTAGTGTATATTTAGACTGAGGGGATAGGACTAGGAGAGAAAGAAATATTAAAAATGGGAGGTGGAAAAAAATAAAATAAAATAAAAATGGGAGGTGGGAGTTGAAATTGATGATGCCTGATGAGTCCTGTGAAGTGGGCATGGGATCAAGAACAAAAGTAGGGGAGTTCCCTTTTTAGAAATCATTCAACAAATATCTGGCAACTTTACTTCTCTAAGCTTCCATTTTCTCATCTATAAAATAGGAATAATAGTATATATCTTATATGGTTGCTTTGACAATTAAATGCTTAATGTAGAATCTGGCACATATAGCCAGTTTTCTAAAAGCATTTATTGCTTTTGTTGTTCTTATTGAGTCAGTCACTGTGTTAGGTCCTGAGAGTGGAAGCCAGGTGTGGTCTGATTTTCATGGAGCTTGCTGCCTTCAGAAGCAAGGGATGGAAGGGGCCACGTAGATAAAGAGCAAAAAGAGAAATCTGAAGGGGTAGGGGCTCACTTGCTATGCCTGACATCCCTCACAGGTAAAGGTGGGGAAGGGGGAGAGCTCCAGGTGTGGATCAAAGAAGCCAAGAACCTGACGGCTGCCAAATCAGGAGGGACTTCCGACAGCTTTGTCAAGGGGTGAGTCCCTGGATCAGCAACAAACTAACCAGTTCCAGGACAAGAAAGCTAAGCAAGGAACCCAAATTAACCTTTCTCTGTGGATGTTATCCTTGTATATCCTACCACCTCCAGCAACCAACTTTGTTCCTGAAAATAGGTAATAGCAAAATCTCCACAACCACCTTTGTACCAGTCTTGAGCTCAGTCTGGACTGTGCTGTAGTGTGGATTCCCAAAGAGGAGGGTGGTAGACAGATAGAGTGGACTTTTCCTTTGTTAAATAGACTTACGCTTTTAATCAATCCTAAATAAAAATCCACGTCCCCTGACTGTTCAGATTTAGGAACTCAGGACTTTGTTTCTCCCAATATTTAAGTAATGCCACCCAAATTATAGATCACCATACTAACTTAAGTTCTCTAGCAAATCATGTTTGGCTAGGCTTCTAGTTATTACTATTGTTTTTATCAAAAGATGACCTTGTCCAGTATCAAGGGAGTCAAATATTTAAAGCCCGTTTTGGGGAGGGTATAGATAACAATTTACTGATAACACTCTATCAATTTTCTCTCCAGGTTAAAGGAATTGAATCAGCTGAATGATCCAGTGGGGGTAGTGGGAACTCTGCTTCAGCATATTCAAAGGAGGGAGTGTATGTGCTAGGATCTGAATAATGACTTACCTTCCTGGGCTAGGCCTGTGGTCAGGGAAAGGGGAATTTAGATAGATATTTGCCAGCTTTGAGTAGGTTGTTGATTACTCCCCACCCTCTGCCAGATACCTCCTTCCCATGAGGAACAAGGCCAGTAAGCGTAAAACTCCTGTGATGAAGAAGACCCTGAATCCCCACTACAACCATACATTTGTCTACAATGGTGTGAGGCTGGAAGATCTACAGCACATGTGCCTGGAACTGACTGTGTGGGACCGGGAGCCCCTGGCCAGCAATGACTTCCTGGGAGGGGTCAGGCTGGGTGTTGGCACTGGTGAGAGCCTCTCTCCTGTCCTATTTTAAAGACGTCTTATGCAATTTCCTCCTAATATGCCCATACCCCTTCCTTCAAAGCTGCTCTATAGCAAGAGTTGTCTTCTTTTCTTTCAGTTAACATTTGGTCAATATTTACTGGGTGCCTACTATGTGCAGACCTAGGGGAAGGCTGTGCTCATGCACTGTTATGCGTACAGATAAATGTGACCCTGATCACCAAGAATGCCGTCATCTTACCACCAAAAAAATCTAATTTCTTAAACAGAATTGTCTCTATTGCCTCACATCTTAATCCACTGTGATCTGGCTTCTGTCTCACCACTCTGCTGAGCAGTTGCTTGTGACAAAGTTTTATTTTCATCTTACTAGAATTTTCATGCTATTTAGTGTAATTACTCCCTTTTTCCTGAAATACATAGCTTCAACTAATACTATACTTGTTTTACGGGTTTCTCAGTCTCTACCCAAATTCTAAATCTTGGTGCCTTCTTTTTTTTTTTTAAAAGGTTTTATTTATTTATTCATGAGAGACACACAGAGAGAGGCAGAGACAGGCAGAGGGAGAAGCAGACTCCATGCAGGGACTTGATCCCAAGATGCCGGGGATCATGACCTGAGCCAAAGGCAGACAGTTAACCAACTGAATCATCCAGGCACTCCTTGAGTCCTCTTTTTCCTCTCTGCAGTCTCGGCATGCCTACGGCCTTTATACTACTTGTATATTAATAAGTCACACAAAGCACTTAACACATGGTGTCTAAAATGATGTTTTTACAAATGTAAGCCAGTTCATATCAGTCCCCCACTTAAAACCCTTCAGTGGTTTACTACTGTACTTGGAAGACAATCCAAAGTTCTTGCCATTCTGACAGGCCCCTATAGATTCTGGACCCTTTGTTCTTTATGATCCATCCTATATGACTCTCCTGCTTGCTTACTGTGCTCCGAACACAATGACTCTTTCTGCTCTCCAAATATACCTACTTCATTCCAACTTCATAACCTTTGCAATTATTGTTAACCTCTGTCTGGCTCCTTCCCATCCTTCAGAGCCTGACTCAAATGTCTCCTTGGAGAGGCCCTCAGACCACTCCATCTAAAGGAGGCCCTGATCTAGGCACTACAGATCACCCTGTTTGTTTACTTCAAGACATTTATCTCACTATCTGAGATACTCTTGACTTACCTGTCTATTTTCTGTTTTCTTTTCAAATGTAAGCTGCCTGCAAGGCAGGACGTTTTTGTTTTGTTTTTGTTTTCCCTTTGTTCACCACTGTATCTCCCAAGCTTAGAAGAGTACCTGGTACACAGTCGGCACTCAAAAAATGTTTGTTGAAAAAAATGAATGTACAAGACAATAAGAATGAGGTCACAATCCAAACTTTGGGCCTGTAGCCTACAGCTAGAGACAAATGGTGTTTAGCTGCTGCTTCTTCCTCCCACCCCCCACCTTTTTAAAAATAAATTTTCAGTCAAGTTGGCAATAACAGAAGGGCAAATACCTCTGGCATGAGGTGTCAGACACAAGAGCTCTGTAATGGCCTCAGAATAAGAGGTCTGAAGCTACTGTGTGCTATTTGGAGTCTTCATTTCATCAACCTGAAGTCTCCTGATAGGCACTCAGGAGCACAGAGATAGCTTTGCAGAGACCACAGGGAGCAGTTCCCAGACTGCCATACCCATCAACCTGTCTTTGTAACATACTGTCTCTTATGGGATGGCTACCCTTGCCCTATAACCCATCTTTCCTGATGGGCTGAAGGAGTGGGTTCCCTGTTCAACCTCCTCTGGTGTTTCTCCTCAGGGATCAGTAATGGGGAAGTGGTGGACTGGATGGACTCGACTGGGGAAGAAGTGAGCCTGTGGCAGAAGATGCGACAGTACCCAGGGTCTTGGGCAGAAGGGACTCTGCAGCTTCGTTCCTCAATGGCCAAGCAGAAGCTGGGCTTATGAGCCCCTGATCTTCTCTGCAGGTCCAGCCCTGTCCAGGGCAAGTGAGAGAAAGTGAAGAAACCAAGAGCAAAGATATATAATTATGTGTGTGTGTGTGTGTGTAGATATATGTATACATATATATGTGTGTGTGTATGTGTGTGTGTAAACATATTTCTACAAATCTCATTATGCTAGAGTGATGCAGACTTGTTACCCTTTTTAAAGCAGGCTCAACAATAAGGGTCTGTTCAAAATGTTTTTATTTGTGCATAATCTAGTATATTTCCAGAGTCCATTCTTATATCTTTATGATGTTTAATTAACTTAAAAATCTTTTAAAACAAGTTTTTTTCTCCTGTCTTGCCATCCTTTCCCTCCTTCTCCAGGAAGCCTTGGCTACCTTTGGCATTCATATAGGTCTGTGTTTCCAGGTATGCCTAGTCTGAGGCTGAGGCTCTGGGAAGCAGGGTTGGGTTACTAAAAGATGGGAGAGAGGTGAGTAGGTCTGCCCCCTTCCTTTCCAATTTATATTTTTAACTCCATTTTTACCTTGATAAATTTCTGGAACTTGGCTTTTAACTCTTCTTGTTCTTAAACCATTTCCATATTTCTTGGGTCTAATGGTCTTCTTGGAAATGCTAAGAAAATTCCTAAGTTCCTTCCAGCTCCAGACACCTTCACTAGACTTTTAGGGAACCCTTATAATGGAGCTGATTTAGAAAAATAATTAGATGGCTTTTTGGTGGTCTCAGAGGACCAGAGTGATTGAGAGTGAAATGTTTCCCAGCTCATACTGGATCTTTGCATTTTATATAGATACAGCTGTTGGAGAGCATCTCCTTTCTCTAAAAAAAAAAAAAAACGACATTTTCACTCTCATATACCACATATTTCTTAGCATTTGTGTCCATGGTGTGGTACCACAAAGAATATGGCCTACATTACCAGAAGAGCCAAGTACTGTCCAAACGGGCCCAGTGTTTCTCCAGCCTGGCCACTGTTAGTGCTCTAAGAGAATGTGTTCAGAGAATCCCCCAGTTATTCTGACTTCCTTCTTCAAGTGATTTCAATTTCTATTTTTTTCTATTGTTTCCTAAACTTGACTTAGATGTAACATGGGTGTGATGTGATGAGACCTTTCTTAATAGGGTCTGGTGATCTGAGGTTCATTTTCTGAAACTCACTGTACCAAACTGACCTTTTTTTCCTTGCAAGTGTATCTACACAAAGTTGTTTGTGAAAGGGATCTACCAGAGAAGAAATCCCTATTGGTAGAATGTGCTGATTGTCCTATAAGGCCACTAGCTGGAGGGCAGCTTCAGTGGTTTCTACTGTAGAGATGAACTGAATGGAGGGGTGTTTTTAAAAGGTTTGTTTGGTATGGATTGATATTGTAACGGAAAGCATGATTTGGGATCCTGGGCTGTAACTTGCTGCTTTGTTCTCCATCCCCTGAAATGTATGTGTGCTCCAATAAAGCTTTCTCACTTGTCAAGTGTTTGTGTTTGTTAGTTTTATAGATGCTTTTCTCTCTGATGTCCTCACTTACTGTTGTTGCTGTTCAGTGGCTTGAAGGAGAAAAACCAAAGTGACAAATGCCCTTCCCTAACCATGCAGTGTACTAATTCAAAGAAAATTTTCCTTTCCCCACATTTTTGCCTGATACCTCTGCTGAGCTCCAATCTATTGACTTTGGTGTTTGGTCTCTAGGGAGAGACCTGAGAATCCATCTTAAAAGTGGCACCATTTCTCGATTTCTCTCTCAAGCACCAAGGGAACTCCTCCTCTCATTTTGTAGCCCCCTACCACTAAGAAGGAGAGGGGGATTCACAGGGGAAGGAAGGTGTTCTCTGCTGTGTTTCTTTCTGGATCCTTCAATATCTCTAGGAGGTAGGGCCTTTTTCCTTCACGCCTACTACCGTTATTTAGTTTTAGGAAAGAAAGAATACAGATGCTAAGCAAGCCATCTCAGAAATAAGGCCCTAGGGTTAAGAAACCTGGGTTTCTAGGTAGAGCGCAAGTGATTCTTGACTCTTGTGCAAAAGGCATTAATATATGTTGCATGTCTTTTGAATATGGAGCTTTGTGCTAGGCACATTATATATTATTTCCTTAATTTCTCCAAGTACCTTGTGAAGTAGGAAAAGTCCCATTTTTACAGATGAGGAAAGTAGAGTCCACTGTTACACAACAGAGTTGGGATTTGAATCAACGTCTGTTTCTACTGTGCCATGCTACTTCCTGTAAGGGTGTTATATGTGTTGTTAGCAAAGATATAAAGGAAAGGATGATTTGCTTCTTCTAAAATATCTCAAAGAAATAAATTTAGTTTACAAAGGAGGATAATCAGAATGCTTTGGATGTTACCTAACCAGCTGCTGACTTGATAGTTTGTACGTGTGTGTGTGTATGTGTGTGTGTGTGTGTGTTTGTGTGTATGAGACAGAGAGACAGGGAAATGGGGATGGGGATAGGTGGCAGGCAAAGAGAAAAAGAAACACATGTACAGGGTTGGGGTGAGACTAGCCCCTTGTCTGGCTGTGAGCCTGATTCTGCTGCTGCCTCCCCCTCCCAGTTAGTAGCTAGAATTTCCTGAAGCATCATGCAAAAGAGGTTATGGTAAAACTTTACCTAAAGAAAGCAAGATTGACTTGCCTGTCTGACTACTCAGTAAAATGAAACAGAACAAAAGCTTCCCAATTTTTCTAAGCTACCAGAGCATTTCTATGCGAGAGTCAGGTCCAGGTAGAAACTTTGTTCAAGAGGCAGTGGGCCTCGACATGTTAACCATTTGGGCCTTGACCTGCTAGCATGCCCTGGCTTGCCACTTGAGGTCTAGGTGATAAAGACAAGGAAGGGCATTTATTTTGACTCATATGCAGTCTTTGCCTTTGGAACCACAGACCTTGTCTGACCGGAGATATCCCATATTAGCTCATTGTATTTTGTCTTCTACCCATAACTTGTCTTTTGACTTTCAAGCTCCTGTATTTCCATGCAAGGAAGAGGGAGAAGGGACTTTTTTTTTCCTTCACGTTTGATCATTCACTCCATGCCCCGTTCCATTCAGCAACTGGCTAACATTTTATTTTGCATTTTATAAGTGAGATTTCCACTAAGCCTACAGTGGAAACAGCCTCTCTCTGATTCACTACTACCCCCATACGTTCTGGGCTTGTGATTTATGTCCCATCCCTCTTCTTTGGAGAGTGAATTTTCTTGGTCGAGAGCCTTCCATTTTCCTTTTCCTCCTGGGCCCACTCCTGAGTCTTGTGTCTGAGTAGGATTATATATAGAAGGTGAAACTGCTGTCTTTGCTGGGAGCAATCAGCGGTCTTTAAATGAAATATAGAAAAAATAGAGGCAGTCCAGTACAATAATTAAGAACACTGACTGGAGCCAGACTGCTAGTGTTTAAATCCCAGCTCTGTCACTTACTAGCTGTCTGATCTTAGGCAAGTTGCTTAACCTCTCTGTGCTCCCATTCCCTCATCTGTGACATGAGGCTAATAGCGGTACCTGCCTTATAAGGTTGTTGTGAAGGATTCAGAGTCAATGGATGGAATGTTTAGAATGATACCTGGTACGTGGTGAGTGCTTAAGCATTAGCTCTGGCTCTCCACTCAGCCTGCTTTCTTCTCTCCCTTAATTTTCCACTGGTGATCCCCTAGGCCAAGCTGAAGGAGAAAAGCTGCTGAGTCTTAACCATGACCCTGCATTCCATGAGTGTAAAAGAAGAAGGTTCTAAGCAGCATGGGAAGAATACCTTTTTTTTTTTTTACCTTCTCCACTAGTTTTACAGAGGCTTGGAGTGGTGGTTTCCAGGTTCCCTAGATCGTGAGCTGGGGGCTTCCCTGAGGAAGGGACTGCCCTGGCTGCCTTTTGTTATGGAACTGGAGGCTCAGTAAGAAGAGGCTGTTGCCTGTGAGCCAGCTGGAGGGGCCAGGACAAAACATTGTGCTCTGGCCTGATTCTTCTTCTTTAAGCTGCCTCCTGTTGCAGCATATTCCTTACTCTTAGATGAAGCAGTGGTTAACATAACATTTGTAACCCAATACCCTAAAAGGACAAATGACAAGTTCAAGGATATTTTCAAGCTCCCACCACCTCCAATGATAGAGTTAACCTGTAGGGGGAGAAAACCAGCTACACTTGCTTTAATGTCCCAGTCGTCTGTTGTGACAGTGCTGCCCTCTGCTGTCACCTCAGGGTAGAGGAACCATTTAAAACACAACCGGTTAGTGAATGAATTGAGAATTTACTTATCTGGAAGACTTTGGAGAGCTGCGCAGAGGCCTCCGGTTGGGAAAAGACTTTCACCCCCCAGCCCGTTGACCAGGACCTGTCCTAAGTCCTTGCCTAGCTTCTTATCTCCTCGAGTGCTACTTAAAGCAGAAACTTGCTTAGGGAAACTATTAGCCCTACAAAGGACGTCTGGGAATATCCCAGGATTGGTGAATCTCACCCACCTCAGGGTCCTGGCCCTAGTACCGTGGGGAGCCATTTCCTCCTTTTATTAGGCCCCAGTTTCAGCTGACTAGGGGAACTTTGCCCTTGACCTCCATCCATGCCCTGGCTCCAGTTCACTCGCATATGTCCCTTTGTTCCCGACGCTGGATCAGCTCCTGGTTGCTCAGTAGATAGTCATCAATGAATGTAAAGATTTCCTCGGGGGTGACAGGTTCCATGTAGCGTTCCCGGTCAATTCCTTGCTTGTCAATCAACACCATGTTGAAGTAGGAGGGAGTGAGGCGCTGAAATTGCCTAAGGAAAGGAGCCCACGAGGTGTGAGACCTTGTCTGGGCTTCATCCCACCAAGCTTTACTACCCTCTCACTTTTCACAGTTCTACCCGTGGACTAGATCCTTCCCTACCTGGTCTCTTGTCCCCATCCCCTCTACTACTGATCTTAAGCCCCTTTGTTTTTCTCTGCTTAAACTGTAGTCTTGCTGTCCCTTTGCATATAACTCTCTGCTAAGCTGTCCCATCCTTACCCCAGATGGAGCAACTTTGTTAATACCAGGCTCTGCTTCCCTCGTGGGAATATGTGACTAGTGTCTTCTAGAGTTGGGCTGGACATAACCTGCACAACCGTACATGGCAGCCCTGAGGTTGATTAATATTGCCCCGTCAACTCTTCTATCTGTAGATGCAAGTTCGCAATCTCCTTCCTCTGGATGTTTCTCAGTCTCTCCCCTACCTGCGACTCTGTCCCCACTGGGACCGAACCCTAGAGGCAGGTATTGTTTATAGAACAGAAAGCAATGATAGCTTTATTGGCACTAAGTGTACGTGGAGGCATTTGACGGGGGTGATAATGGATAGATGACGAGAAAAGTCAACTCCTACCACCTGTCACCTGTAGTCTTCTCCTTGCCCAGGGGCAGAGGAGTAGGATTCAGATTTTAGTGCCTAAAGATGCCTTTTGCTCCTTTGGAGACTGAAGAAAAAGAGATGAGGCCATGGCGCGATGAAATCAGAGGCTTCTCTTCTCTGAGTCATGTTTGGGTTCTGTGTCTCAGCCCTGCTGTGCTTCGGAGTCACCTAAGTTCCCTCATAAAAGCACAGTCTTCGGGTAGTTTGGGGTCGAGCCTGGTCCTTGGTCTTTTACAGGCTCCCTCTGCCCATTTAAGTTTGATATTCTACCACTCTCTGGTTTTACCTAATGCATCCAAAGGATTCAAACACAAGGCATGCCTCAAGACAGTAGTGTCTGTTGACTTTCCCCCAACCTTCCTGTTGCCAGTGTCCTGCCTGGGGTTGCTGCCCACCCCTTCCCTGTGGCCTCCAGCCTGGACCTGAGCTCCTCGATGATGTTGGCTGACAGCTGTTGCTCCCGGATGCGCCCCACCTCCTGAGGTGGCTGCCCCACCAGTTCAATGATGGTCATGTGGCGTAGGTCCAGTCCACAAGTGGATTGCTGGGAGAAAAGAAAAGGTTTTGTGGAATAGGTTCTCAGACTCAAATCTAAGGCTACTTCACTGATTCTTCCTGGGACCACACTGAGGCAGTGTAGGAAAGGAGGGGCTTCTCCCCCAACCATCACACAGTGGGGTTCAACAACTTTCCTCTGTCATTCCTAAAGCATTTGCCCTAACAGTATTTCTGTTATTCTAATGAGACCATACCAAACCTGTCACACCATGTGGTGTAGAGAAGCAAAATGTAACTGATGCATTGCAGGAATATAATCTCTCCTTGTACAGTATTGCATTGGCTTTAAACTACATAGGTTCTTAACAGATGGCTGTGGTGATATGATTATAATGGCTCTTGTTTATGGAACACATATACCTAATGCTTTGCAGGAATAAGCTAATCCTTATAACACCACTAACAAGATAGGTGGGATCATTCTTATTCTGTAGAGGGACAAAGTAACTTGCCTAAATTTGCAGGACAATAATATCCTGAGCCAAGATTCAAACTGAGGGCTGATACGGCCCAAGTGTATGCTCCTTACCACTAGGTGACATGGCCAGGGTCCTCTCTCAG